CTATGCACTTTTGTATCTTTCTTATCTTTAAAATGTGTGATGTATCGCTCGTATTGCTCGCGCTCGTACTTCTCAATTGTATTTCTCGCGAATAATTCTGCTGAAAGCTATACAAATAATCTTATTTTTATTTCTCTCAGGTATTATTTTCTTTCTCGCTGTATCTTTATTTTAAATGATATTCTATTTTCCTATAAGAAAAGAGATATTTATAAAACATTGGAACGAGCTGTTCATTTTACTTGTTGCATTTTAAATTCGCTTTAATCTTATCAAATCGCAACGTAGGAATTGTATATATAATCTTATATATAATCTTACTTATATATAATCTTATACTTATATATAATCGAGTCGCGACATTGCGATTTTAGTAAGATTTAGACTATTTTCTTTTCCCTATCTAAATAGGGAAAAGAAAATAGTCTAAATCTTACTAGAGATGTGGAGGAATCCGAGTCAACAATAGAAACCATTAAAATGTCGGCATACGGGAAACACTACCGGAATAAATCCGTTTCTGATCGTTTTCCCCGTCGAGGTGAAACCATCTCATCTTTATTCGTCCTAGTTGCTACTTTACACATTCTCTTTTATCGGTCCTTTCGTTTCTGCAACTCGTGATCCTCGTTAAAGCGCGTTCCAGTTCACCAAAGTGCCTCGCTCTTTACTCGGGTTTGCTCCTCCTGTCATCGATGTGCCCATCGATATCAGCTTCCGGTTGCAACGATATGGTGATTCCCAACTTGGCTTTGACGTAGCGATGCAATCTCCGCATCAATCAGGTTTGCTTTTTCTCGCAACTGCCAACTCGCAATTCGCCGTTTGTCTTGTGTTAATAGAAGGGCGCTTTCACGAATGGGATCCACATACGCGTTTCGATATCTTTGAATAGTAAACATAATTAGCATCTACAAATGCAGACTTGCGTTAGTAAATCGGAGCAACCGGTTCAATGGAAGTGTTCAATTGGTATGTTTAGTTAATTAATCGAGTAATTTATCCGAAAATTAGGACGCTCTAAATGCATGGAGATGACGAAAATACTGCGATTGTAGATAAGAGAATGTTTCATGAATATATTCGGGTTCGTATTGTCATCACGGATGCTAAATGTTCTCTAATACCATCTCATGTTGAAAGGCGAATGCAATTCTCATATTAGATACATAAATTGTAAAATTAAATAGCTAACATTTAACGTTAAACATTCTAAACGAATAAATAATCACAAAACTATACAAAAAATAGAAGTCTGGATAATTTTGCAATTCTCTTAAATATTTTTTCAAATGTTTTCACATTTGTTTTAACAGGATTATAAAAGAATAATTTTTATTTGAATTTATCTATAAAAATATTTATTAGACCTTTTTTTAAACCATTTTTTCGTCATTTTGAAAGAGAGATAGGAATAAATGCTACCTTGTAATCTTTCGCCCCATTAAAATTGTTAGAAATATATATATTTCTTATAATTATAGCAGCATTACGTTCCGGTTGTGTTAAATAGTATCTAATGATAGTGAATAGTACCTATGAATCTTCCTCCTTATTCTCTATTGCAAAGTACAGGCATTGCGCAATATCTCCATGCGACAGCAAGAACCGTTTTGCATATGTGAATCAATTTGTAACAGCATCCCGGCGTTAATTCGCTGTTGTTAATATATACCGTGTTAAACTTTTCGTTCCTCAGAAATCTTCAAAGATATTCGCATGTCGCTTCTCCGAGCGTGCGGGATTCACAATGGGCGTAGATAGCAACGCGTAACAATTCGTGTTCGATTGAAAACGAGCGCTTTGTATTTCCGTTCGAAACTCATCGTTTCATCAAAGTCAGTCCAGAAACTGTATAATTTCGATAAATTCAATTTTCTTCGTTATACATAGATACGTCGGAATAGTGCCTTAGATAGCGTTTCCATAGTAATCTCTAAAGGGCGATAGGGGCTAAAAGTGGATAGGGGGTTACAGTAACCAGCATAAAATTGCTCATTTAAGGAAGATATGTTATGAAACAAAAGAAACATATCAATAATTTCGATAGTTACATCAAACATCCTTATATTACAC